TTTTCATTTAATAAAATAGAAGAATATAACAATGAAAGAAGATAAATAAAATAAGAATAAAATAAGATAAAAACAATGATATTGTTATTATATTATTATGTTATTTTAGTTTTGATTTTATATTTATTATTTTATTTTTATCTTTTATAATCATCATTCATTTCTTCTTTTTGTCATTTCCTCTTTTCTAAACATCACTGAATTTATTCTATTTCATTCTATTTTCTTTATTCTTGTTGTTATTTTATTTATTTCTTCTTTTATCATTTCTCATTTCTTGTTTATTCTTGTTTGTTGTATATTTTATTATTATTCTTTATTTATGTTGTGTTATTCTTATTTATCTTTCTTATTATGTTTTGTTTATTATTGTTTAAATAGAAAATAAAATAATAAAGAAAATAAAGAATAAGAAATAATAACATAAATATGATGATGTATTTTATCATTTCTTTATTTGTTTATTATTCTTATTTCTATTATCTTATTCATTTGATTCATAATGAATTAATTCAATGAAATAATACAAATAATTTGTTTATTTATTTCATATTATTTCTCTTTTATTTTTATTTCTTTTCTTATTTATTAAAAACACCCTCATTGGGTGTGAAAATTTCAAATGAAATAAAATAAATCAACATTGAATTATGTCAATTTTTAATTCACCATTTCATTCATTGGCAGATGAACAAAATGGCTGTTCATATTCTTCATTGATTTGTTTTTATTCTTTTTACTTCATTTTCAATTATTCAAGACTGAATCATTTCAATTACTATGATTCGTTTTGGTATGAAAAAATTTTTGAACAATCCTGTTCCACAAAGTGCATTTGATATTCCTTTATAATCAAACGTATTTTGATCATAAAATGATTGTGTTTTATATCTTTCTTTATAAACAACAATATCACAATATCCAAATGCAAACAAACAATCATCCGATTGCTTACCTAAATAAAATGCATTTTGTGGTTCTATAATATCAAATTTCATCATTCCTTTCATTCTTCCATTTGATTCTAATGAAAATACAAATGATTGTGAATCATTTATAAAACCACCAGCTTTATCAATTTTAGAATTAACATATCCTCCAAATTTATTTCCATCTTCATCTTCAATAATAATAATTATATGTTCTTTATTTATTATTCTTTCTTCAAATACTGATGTATCAATATTCCAATCATCAATATCTGAATCAAATAGTATATTTGATATTCTTTTTTCTGTCCATTCTTCTATTTGTTTAATATACACCTTATTCATTTTAATTTAATTTGATATTTATAAGTTCAAAATATGAATGTTTAAATAGTTAATACACGTTATTAACACATCAAATTAATTATTAATTTTATCATCAGTCTAATTTAACAAACATCATTCATTTTATTTTTACAATAACAATAAATATATAATAATATTAATAATATAATAATAATAAAATTATAATATTGTTATTTTCTATAATTAGCTTATTTTATTTTTAGTATTTTTTCATTTTTTTAAATAATAACAAAAAAAAATTGAAGAGAAGAAAACTCAATTCTGTTTTATTTTTATTATTTCATCTTTTGTGATAATAATAATAAAGGTAAACGATACATCAAGGAAAATGAGATTAGAAGAAGAAAAATACAAAGAAAAACAAATAAAAAACAAGGTAAATACAATAACAATAAAGATTATATAAATAACAAATATAAATGAATAACAATAAATGATATACAATAAAGAATAAAAAGAATAACAAGTGAATGGAATAACGGAGGAGATTCAGAAATACACAAGAAGTAAGAAGATAAAAGGAAAAGAAGGTATGATATTCTTCAAGAAGTATATTCAATCAAAAAGAAAAAGATAAATGAAAACAAAAATGAAGAGTTTAAAGAAAAAACAACAGACATTGAAGAAAAAGACATTAAAACAAATGAAGAAGAAATTAAAAACAAAAACACAATTAAAGAAATGAATGAAAGATGTAAAATTGTAAGAATAATAAATAGCAAAGAAAGTATAATAAAAATAAAAGAAGAAACAAAAAATAAAGAAGAAAAGAAATATAAAATTAATTGAAATGATGTATTGTTTTGCAATTAATTG